AATGCAGTTTCTGCAGGAACGGTATGACTCTTGTAGCCTTTCCCATCTTTCCATTAAATAATAGAAATAAAATACCATTGCATTGCAATAGAATCAGAGCTCTTGCAGTTGAGGCTTTTATTGCTGCACTGATAGTACTTAGCATTCCCAAGGAGGTGAGAAAACCATCTGTAAATACATTTCAAAGATGCTTGGTTCTCCAAATGGAATTGCTAGGTACTCACTCCTTCTCAATTATATGAATGTGGATGACTAATATTGAAGGATATGGTATCTATTTGAAAGACTGCATAGCTGGTTATTCAGTGTAAAGAGAGATGGATCAAAATAGAGTTCTACTGAATAATCAGATGTTGAGGAGCTTGTATTTGTATGGATACATATCTAATGCATGTAAAGAAAAGGGGTCTTATATAAGATTTATACATACAGGGACATATCAAATAGGATGGACCTTTGGTCCATTTGTTACAAAGAAGTGTAATGACCCTTCTTGTAATAGATCCTGTGTTGTAAAGCTAAAAACTTAATGAAAAGGCTCTGTTTCAGAGTAATCAAATCACTTCGTTATTGCATCCTGTCAGTCAGTCCCTCTATTTCCCACTGGTTTTGCATAATAGATTTAAAGAGGGATTAAGGAAGAAAAGAGAACTGGTTATAGGTGTGTTTCCCCTTGTTTTCTGGAAGTGATGCTCTGTGCTGCATGTGCCTTTACTCCAGATGATTATGACAAACAAATCTCTTTCTTGGTAGGCTGCAGTTTGCAGTTTTCCCTCACTGTACTTTCCACAAACCCCATTGCATGTAGCACATGCCCCTGTTTCACCAGGCAATGAGCTGTGCTCTCTTTTAGCTATGGGGAACAGGCTCTGTGCAATAAGGGCTTTAAAAAAAAACCCAGAAGGTATGTGATTTTTAGATTTTTTTAGAGCCTTACCCTGCTTTTTAGAATTGAAGTATGTAACGAGACCATCAAAGCAGAGACATTGACTGGGTGTAAGCAGGGGGAAAATGTTCTGCCTGGAGATGAAACAACTTTCATGTTCTGGGGAATAAGACTGCACATCTGCTCCACTAGTGTTTCTGTGTATTCTGATGTGCAGAGCATGCAACGCTACTAAATTCTACCCTAAACCCAGTGGGAGGGTGGTCACCTGTATGCTGGGAAAGAAAAGATGTTACTGCTCTCCTGATACGGTGTCCAGATGTTATTAGTCATCTGTCCCTGTTGATCATCAACCCTACAGAAGTGAGACTGCCGTGGATTTTTTTGCATGTAGTATTATATACAGCAGACTAAAGCAAATGGTGGTTATTTCACATTTTAACAGATACACTGGAGAGGAAACCTCATGTTTCTTCCCCTTCCAAACTCCACCTAACTAGTTTTGTTGGTTTAGTAGAATTTTTTATTGCATTTCCATTCTGACCTCCTAATTACATTGCCTTATCTGCTATTTTTTCATTTTTGTTTGTACATCTTATACACAATATTGTATACAACATAACATGTTATCATGGGATCAGTTTTGGTTTCTAATTGCATTGCTATTCTTATGGCAAGAAGCAGGTTTCATGTGGACACAGGCTTTATCACCAGTTGGACCATGTGTGTTGGGTTTTTTTTTTCTTGGCTTTTTTTTTTTTTAACACGCAGGTAAAAGGAACTGTGAAAAGAATGTGTTTCATTTCAGTGGCCGTTCCGTTTTACTTGCATTTCATAGGCCTTCAGTCTCACTTAATATGGAAAATGCTTTCTTCTCTGTAGTGTTTGGGTTCTTGCAGGAGCTCCATCAACTATGCATTGTACATCTTGCTGAAATACGAAGGGAAGGCCTGCAAGGGTCTTGCAGTGACTGTATCATATGTAAAGTCTCTCAGCAGGAATATGGCTCCAATGAGATTCTCATGAGCTGAATTATCTACGTGTATTTTTAAGAATAAGTGGAAAACCAAAGAAAACCGAAATTTCTCTTTCACTTAGTTCCAGTTAACTGAGCAGCTTCCTTTTCTCACCGAAGTCAGCCAACCAGGCACTAAGCTTATCCAGCACATGTTTCTGTGTTTCCAAAGACCCAGGGTACTTTACAGATGAATTCCTCCTTCCTTCTGAAACAAGCTTAGTCTGACAACTGGTAAGTCAATCCTGGAGCTCTGCAGTGCCGTGCAAGCAAGGGGGAGGATGGGAGAGAGGAGATGTACCAGCAGTTCCAGGACTTGAACCAAAAGAACAAGCTCTGTGGGATGGCAGAACACGTCGTCGGTTTGATTGCTGACTCATCGTGTTGGTCTGCAATATTGCCTTACACTAATGTGATGACACCAGGGCTGGCTTGGAAATAAGGAGCCAAAAAAGAGTAGTTTATCAGTAAACCCACACTGCTTGCGGATGTGGACTTCTCTAATGATAAATGGTACCATTCCTGCAGGTAGAGTTAGTGTTCTTAAATCTCTTACTTTAAGAGAAGTAATAGTAACTAAAATGTACTGCTTTTAGCCACTTTAAAAAAAAAAAAAAAAGTTACAAATACATCCTTTCAGTTGACGATTTGAGTGCAGTAAATTACGGGGTTGTGGCTTTGAGTTTTTGTTGTGTTGGCTTTTTTTCCCCTCCCCACATTGCTCTCTTTCCTATTTCTTACCATTCTGTGTCAAAGGAGAAGGTTTAGGAATGAAGAAGACTCAGAACCCAAAATTCTAGTTCCTGGGCTGACAGACACACACATTAGATAAACTCAAAACTCTTAAGCGGCAGATTAAAACCAATTAATTTTCTGCTTTCAGTACTCCCAGCTGGAAGTGTGAAAATGAAGTTTGTTTGGGAAATTGTTGAATTTCTCAGCTTTTCAAAAGGGCAGTTACTCTGATCATATAGGGAAGAACACCTTTGTGGTGCTACCTGTTATTTGGCCTTCCACGGATTGAGGCAGCCAAGGACGCATCCTTTAGTAGTAAGAATTCCCTATGTTTTTGTGAAATTAATGCAAAAGATCGTGAGAAAACATGAGAAAATGTTGACTTAGACATTGTAGCTTTCAGGAGTGGTCCAAAAGAGGAGTGTTGAGAGCATGGTCTATATATGCAGGTATTTGCTTCTAGAGGCTGTTACTGTTCAGGTTGGTGAGATAAATGATGGTGACATTCTCTAAGTTGAGATTCCAATGGCCAAGTGCTCTGCTGGGTCTTCGACAGTTATTTCATATTGCTGAGGAGGAAACATAATGTTTCTGTGTTCTCAGAATCTGCAAAATGCTGCCGTGTAAGAGCTCCTGCTGCCAAACTTAGAGCGGTTACGTAAAGCAGAATCCCATTGATCCTGGAGGAGGGTGGTGGGCACAGATTTCTTCAGGAAACTGGAGACTCTCTTTCTCAGAACATACACTGCAGAGGCAGGATCGTAGCGAGGAATCTAGGTCGCTTCCCGGGTGTGTAATGAAGAAACTTTGTAGGGACAACCCAATTACTTTGTAACTCACCAAAGTTTCTTTACTGGCCTGGCCATGGATGGTAGGTATCCTGTTTGCCCTTCCTGCGTGGCACAGGCTACTGGAAACGTCAGTGTAAACCAAAAGCTTGCTTAAATGAGGCTCAGAACTACAAATATAAGGTGCTTTTATTGCTGTATTTTTTGACATAGCTTTAAGCTTGTTTAAGCAACCCGTGGCAGGGAGATCTTCCGTGAGGCCCATTATTCTAACCTCTTTGATAATTGAAGATGTTGTTTTGGTAGGTTAAATTTATGTCAAGTGCTCATGAAGACCAGCACGCACCTGCAATTAGAGACTGTCAGTTCCAGTCCTGTTGTTCATCCTGTTTACAAGAGCAAGAACAGGGTTATGTCCTTCTCTGTTTAGCTCCTCTGAAATAACTGAATTGGTGATACACACAAGTGAGGTGAGTAGCCAGGAACTTTTTTGCAAATATTTGATTAATTTGATATAACTCCCTGTGGGAGCAACAGAGTCCTCCCCTTTCTATTGTTTAGTCATAGGAGAAAATCTTAGCAGTGCAACGTGGAGCTATCGAGCAGTAGGCATCTTTTCCACATAATCTTGGCTTTCTTTTTTGAAATTTGTCTACTAG